GAAAAGGAAAATGTGTGTGTGTGTGTGTGTATATATATATTTACATATATATTTGTGTATATATATATATTTACATATATATATTTACACAAATATATATGTAAATATATATATATACACTATTCAACAATAAGAATGAAATCTTGCCATTTGTGCCGAAACATGGATAGACCTTGAGGGCATTATGCTAAGTGAATTAAGTCTGATGAAGAAGAATACCATATGATGTCACTCTTATGTAGAATCTAAAACAACAGAAAAACAAGCTCTCAAATACAAAGAGCAGACTGGTGGTTGTCAGACATGGGGCGGAGGTGGGGGGGATTAGAGATGGGTGAAGGAGGGTCAAAAGATCGCATTACAAAATTAAAAAGTGAAGGATTCACTATTTTCAAACACCACTGATGGGAATGGAAAATGACCCAGGCTCTTTGGAAAACAGTGTATTCCTACATATCCAGTGGCTACGCCACGTTCTGAAATGCCATTTGTTTTTAAAAGATGTTGTGAGAAACTGAGTCTCTTTCTCCACCCCCAGGAAAATCATAAACAGCATTTGGGACACTTGGAAGGTCTTCAACTTCACTTTGAAAGAATAATAAGAATTGGTATTGTTTCTACAGAGGGGAAGCAGCTCCTAAAATCATACTGCAGTAAATCATTTTCATCCAATTATTTAAAAAATATCTATAATTTGGGTTTAGGTTTCTATTCTCAAACTCCTAAATAAGACCTTTCGCTTCCAGATTCTAGTTGCAATTCTGTGGAACTGGATGAACCAGAGTGGTGAAAAATGTCATTCTGCTGCCAGCTGGGTGAAATCTGGGCCAAAACTCCGGATTGCTGAGCAGCAGGATTAGCTGGTAGGTTAGATTTCCAGATAGAATTCAGGAGGAGCAATCAATAAGGATTTGGATATACTTGCCTCAAGAAGGGCCCCAGAAAGCCTTCTAAAGCTGGAGAAAAGAACAGAAACTCAACCAAAGGTTCATGCTGCTACTACAATAAGTAGTCAAATATTCTAGTCTTTGAGTCCTTGGCATTAGCCCGGCCTGACCAGATGGTAGCTTTCTCCTGCTTCATCAGGATTCTGGAACTATGCGAGGGTCATTGTATGGTCTTGACAAATCATGGTGGATGTAGAGAAGGTTTTGTTCCTGGCCCTTCCTACTCCAATCATGAGCTTAACCTTCTCTGTATATGGGAGAAGTTCAGCTTCAGCAGTACAAAGGACTACAATCCAAAGGACAGCAGTACAACGAGAGTAGCCTATAATTCATCCTTTTCTGTGAAGGAAATCTACCTTATTAACTCCTTCTGGTGTGATCCCCTCCTAGACATAGACCAACACACACCACTTAAATCGTCCACTTAAACCTGTCCGCTCTCCCTCCAGTGAAGAGACTTGATCCAAGGTCCTTGGAAATTTCCTCTTGAGATTGCTGTGTGTCATGTTTGGCCCCCAAACTGGTTAACCTTTAAAATTTTCACCTAACCTTTAAAACTGTTATTTCTAGAGTGATATCACTAAGATGGCAACATAGATCATTCTTAACTTTGGTCCTCCTGCACAAGGAGAACTAACAAACAATTAGGGATGGAACAGACACCTTTGGAGAATTCTTAAAGCAAGGGAAGAGGTTGAAGCAACCCCCTGCACCACAGAGATCAAGACAGATAGCATTAGAGAGTTAAGAGGAGCAGCTTCACATTATGGTCCCAGGACTGCATTGCCCCTCCCTCAGGCTGATGCAGAATCAGGCTAGAGGTCTTCCTGAACCTACTTCTTCGAGTGGGAAAAGAGAGCCCAGCCTAAACCTTCAGCTTATCCAGCATGGTGGGTTGTTTCTGGGAAGCCTCTGCTCCTGTCTTGCCCCATAGGAATTGTGGGACAATAAGCGTGGCTCAATCACTGGAATTATTACTGTGACAGAGAAAAGCAGAGGAGCTTTCAATAACTGACACTCACATCTTGTTAGACTCAGTTTTTACCTCCAGCACCCAAGTAGCAGTCCCAACCAGGAGCTTTGGTCATCTACACATGGTGGCACATTCTGGCCAGGAAATGAAGTAACATGTGGGTCTGCCTGATTCAGATCATCAAACAAAGAGCTTTGATGGCCTTGTGACCTATAAGGGAGCTGAGTCATAGCCTAGCCATGCCTGACCAAGCAAGGCTGGCCAGACCACCTAGAAGCTGTTTTGCCCCCTGATGCTCAAGCAAAGAGTACAATAGGCAGAAGTAATCTTATACCGTGTAAAGCCAGTGGCCCTGTTGGGCTTGGCAATAGGGGTCATGGGTCAGGGTTGAGTCAAGACCCCAACATGAAGTCTTGGGGGCTTTGGAGCCTAGGCAAAGGGAGGTAAATTATATCCCCGTGAATTGTTGAATACAATCTTCAGCTCACCTGACTGAGAAATGTAACCAGAGCACAAGGAAACTGCATAGATTGTCCAACAGCTGTGCCTATGATAGACCATGGAGAGGAGCACAGCCCATGGCTTTCCCTGTGAGCAGAGCAAAATGAGTGGCCACATCTGGCCAAGGAATTCAGTGCACTGTCTTGCCTGATTCAGGTTTCCAAACAATATCCTGTGCAGCCAAGAAGGCCCACCCTTCCACCCTGCCAAGGCAGAGAAACTTATTCATTGTGCCATCTACTCTGAATATGGTACTCAGTCCTGTCTAGCAAGCCTGACCAAAGAACCCATGTCAATGTGTAATTCATCATACAGCTTCATGAGAGCAGTGAACCAAGGCAGCAGTCCTATCTAACTTTACTTAGTCAGAAGTACCCTTCCACCTTGTCCTGACCTTAAAGCTAGGGCAGTGAACTTGCCCCAAAATAGACCCTAATAGCAAGCCCCATCAACCCAGGGTTATTATCAGCATACAAGTCCAAAAACCCAACTGACCTGAGTGCTGAAGAATGGTCTCTGCCAAAGTGAATCTATACTTTCTGTAAGAAGAAACTGCTTAAAAAGCTCCAATAGTTGATCCTAAAGAAATGAAGATCTATGAACTGTCATACAAAGAATTCAGAACAGTTGTCTTAGAGAAGTTTTTGCACTGAAAAAAAAAAAACACACACATACAAGTAAAATTAAAACAACAACAACAATGCATTAACAGAGTGAGAAGTTCAAGGATATAAAAACACTTAAAAATCCCAAGGAAATCTTAAAGTTGAAAAACACAGTGGCCACATGTAAGAATTCAACAAAGAACTTCAAAAGCACCATCATGGTGAATCAACATTCGAAAAGACAACACATTTGAAATCACCAAGTCAGAG